TTCAGTCATTCATACACGAAATTTTGTAAGAATAAAAAAATTTAAATACTTGTTTTATAAAATAATATATACATAAAAAATTTGTAATAAAAGTTGAAATTTTAAATTTATTTCTGATTAATCTTTTCTTTTAATAATTTTATAGTTCTATTATAAATATTTATATATATATAATATTTATAATTATGTACAATGGAATTTTTTTTTTTCCAATTAACAATATTAAATCTCTTTAATATTTTTGTCGTTTTTATATTACAAAAATTCACATATCATACGATTAATTAACAGAAATATTAATTTAATTACAATTATAAATATTAAACATTCAATTAAACAACATTATAAACTCTTTTACGTGTATTTAGCTTCAAACCACTTCCAAATTTATTCATATATGTATATATGTGTGTGTGTGTGTGTGTGTGTGTGTGTATCATACATGTAGTAATACACACACATATATAAATACCCAGAAACCTTGAAGGAAAGAAAAAAAATGCAACTCAGGACTGCTGAGTAGAAGAACATAACGTTGCAAGGCTCGTACGTCATACATGCTTATATAAATCACCCTCCATTACTATAATTCTCTACGTGCAAGCTCATATATATATATATATATAAGTATATATACATGTATACGACATGAAGTGTTGGATTGATGATCTTGGACAGTTGAAAATCAAGGAGGCTGCGTGTGAGAATCCACCAGTATAGACCATAAAATATGAACATCTTCATCCGGACATGATTTCACATCTTTGTATAGAATGTATATCCCACCTCTACCTGCAAAGAAACCAAAAAGACAAGTGCAAATCACAATGAAACTGATTAGGTATGAAAATGATCGATGAGATTATCATGGGAAATGAATGCCGTGAGTTATAAGCAGGAACATATATATATATATATATAGAGAGAGAGAGAGAGAGATATACGAGAGGTAATAAAAGAATCAAGAAGATGGGTCATGCATAAATGATTAAGAGAAGAGAGAATAGCATACGAGTTATATGGGTTGAATGAAGATGAGACCAGAGCTTCTTCAATGGCGAGAGTAGGGAGTGAAGCCATCCCATTTGGAGAATTAGGTTTTAGTTCATGGTAGTTGAAAGTTTGGAAGGAAATACAGAGGGGATGAAAATCTTTTACTACCCGATTCAATTACTTTATCCTTTTTGTTTTGTTTTTATTTTACATTTTCAATCAGATTCAAACAACTGTGTGTATATATACATATACATATACATATACATATATATATATATGTAAGCAGGTATACTTTGGGTAGGATGTCTCTGTCCGGTATTGATGTTTCTCTTTTCTCTCATGGAAGAGTTCTAACTTGGGAAATCTTCTCCATGACTTTTCTCCATATACAGAAATTAGGTAATGTTGTATAATTATATTATAATATCATTTGGTAATTATCTTGAGAAATGACTGGTGGTTGAAGCCAGAGTTTGTAGTTATTATGCTTGGGCTGTATTTTGTTGGCTCCCACTTTCGTTCCTTCTGTGTGAAGTGAAGAAAGGAAGAGTGTATGTATGTATATATATATATATATATATGTATGTATGTATGTAATATATATATATATATAGTAATAATTTTCACCTGTTGTTTTCCCAAATCATTGCGGATAAGATGCAAGTCTTAGAAGTAATTCTTCCATCATTTTAAGCTTCCTTTGTAAGTCTTAGAAAAAGCCCAAAAGCTCAAATGGTGCCGTATTTTGGGCAGGTCGGGCCGGGTGATTTCTTCTTATACCCGTGCGGATTAAACCCGATCCACCTATACATATACACCTCATATTTATAGAGAAAAAAAATATGAAGAGCAAAACAAAACCGCCAACAAATAACACGATAATTCCTCTTACCAGAACCGGTGCCTTGCCGGATAGCAGGCACTGAAATGGCGGCCAGTGGTGGTGGAAGCGGCCAGCTGACGTACAGACCGTATCGTCATCTGAGAACTCTGAGAGGACATAGCAAGGCTGTCTCCTGCGTTAAGTTCTCGAACGACGGGACTCTGTTGGCATCGGCATCCCTCGATAAAACCCTAATAATCTGGTCAGCCTCCACCTTGGCTCTCGTCCACCGTTTAGTGGGTCATTCCGACGGCATATCGGACCTGGCTTGGTCTTCTGACTCGCACTACATCTGCTCGGGGTCCGACGACCGGACCCTCCGAATCTGGGACGCCCGATCTCCCTTCGACTGTCTCAAGGTCCTCAAGGGTCACTCCGACGTCGTTTTCTGTGTTAACTTCAATCCTCAGTCCAATCTCATAGTCTCCGGTTCATTCGACGAGACTATCCGCATCTGGGAGGTTAAAACCAGCAAGTGCCTTCGTGTGATTAGAGCTCACTCCATGCCTATCACTTGCGTCCACTTTAACCGCGATGGCTCCCTTATTGTCTCCGGTAGCCACGATGGATCTTGCAAAATCTGGGACGCTAAAGAGGGTACCTGCTTGAAGACCCTCATCGATGATAAAGACCCCGCTGTTTCTTTCGCCAAGTTCTCCCCCAATGGAAAATTCATTCTTGTCGCTACTCTTGATAATACTCTTGTAAGTAAAAGAGTAAAGTGTTCAGTTTTATCAATTCTGCTTCGATTTTGATTTTGCAAATAGAAGAGTGATTTCAAAGAAAATTTCCTTCTTTTGTGGATGCAGAAGCTGTGGAATTACTCAACGGGGAAGTTTCTGAAAGTTTACACGGGTCACACGAACAAGGTTTACTGTATTACATCTGCCTTCTCCGTGACGAATGGGAAATACATTGTTAGCGGGTCCGAGGATAATTGTGTTTACTTGTGGGATTTGCAGCAGAAAACTATGGTTCAGAAGCTTGAAGGTCATACTGATACTGTTATTTCTGTAAGCTGTCACCCCAGTGAGAACAAAATTGCTTCTGCTGGCCTAGAGAGTGATAAAACTGTGAGGATATGGGCGCAAGATGCTTGAACTGTTCAATGATGTATGGTTGGGTTAGGTTACTAATTTAACTAGGAAAAGTTGGATGGTTATGCTTCTTGTCTTTGTAGGATAAAGTTTTATATGAAATTCTCTTGATCAATGATTACCTGATTCCATATTTAAACCGTTGAAATGAACATTGGCTGGTCTGTATTGGAGGCATGGCAAAATACGAACAGAAAAGGTATTGAATTTATTCTTATGGCAGTTTTGTGTTTGTTGACCTTGCATTATCTGAATTCACCAAAAGTTCTCGATCTATTCACCTAAAAAGAAATGGTGTTGTTTGTGGATTAACCTTCCATTAGATGTTTTACGCCTCCAAGAATCTGTCTGTTTGCTTAGGCCTGTTTGTCCTCATTCGCGTTTGTGTTAATCTTCATATTGTGTCTCCTGTTTACTCTGGATGTTTTAGTTTTCTTATTATGCTGTTATAGGAATCACACAGGTCATCTAGGTATCTGGGTCAATGATTATTTTTTTGAGAAGCCTTACATTTAGGAAGCATGTTTTCCATCATTGAACTTTCTAAAAGATGAAACTTTAGGTATGTAGCTTTTGTTTTCCATTAAGTCACAGCTCATTTTCAAGTTGTGATATTGTGCTAGTTAACATAGAAGTGTTGGTAAATTGTGTTTCCTAGATGACTGTGAAACTTAGTTTTGAGCATCAGGACACTTACATAGTTTCAAAAGCATCAACATGATTGTTTAATTTAATTTGTATTGAATATAATCTCTTATCTGTATTCTTCACATTCTTGGTTTAATCTAGCACATTAGGATCTCTCCATATTCCTGGTTTAGTCTGAACATCAGGATCTTTTCTTGTGCTATTCTGTTGTGGGGTTGGGGCTTAAAGTGCTAAGACAGTGTGGAAGTGTTGTGCTGAGAAAGGAATTGCAGAATCATATAGCAAATCTCACATTGTAAACTATTCCCAGCGGTCAGTTTATGAAATCAAATACCCCAAGAAGTGCATTAGGTCGCACTCAGCAGGATCTAAACATCAATGTTCCGACTGCAAAATGTTTTGGTGAGACAGATTGCATTAAGTTTTGTGATATAAGTTGATGCCTGCTGCATTTTGACATTATATTTGCTATGGCTTTTGGTATTTATTGCACTTTATTGTTGTGTGCATGATATGTTGATGGCTTGACAAGTCAACTTTTTATCCTAGTTAGTGAGTTCATAAATGGTATTCCGTTCTAATGATGTTGTATTCAGTTTGCTTTTATTGGAAGTTTATTTACAAAAAAAAAAAGGTTTATTTTTATTGGAAGAATGATGTAGAACAAACTAAGGTTGCTTTGCCTGTGCTGAGAACCTCAGGATTCTTAGGTATCACCATCACACTTGGGATTCTTTGAGTGTCACATATAAGCAAACATTTGATTGCATCACAGTAGTCATACATGACATTTCTGTTCAGAAAATTATCTGAATGTGAATACTGGCTGTCTCATAATTGAGTTGAAAGATATTTGTAGCTGTTACAATAGTACCATTAACATGCTCTGCAAATTTAAAATAAATCCATCCACAAATATGTTTGTTCTTATTATCATTATTGCAACCTCATCGAGGCTTCTGGTGTTCCTGCATTGGTTTACCATAGCAGCCTAAGCATGTTCACTTGCATGCTTAATTAAAAATTCACCCCTTGATTTGTCATCTCTGGCTGATACTTTTTTACTATAGTCAATTCCTTACTTTTGACAGATAAAAGGAATGATAAATGGGTCGTTTTAGTTCTCATGTTATGACAATATTATTGATGAAGATTTGGATGTAATGAATTCTGTTATTGTCCACAAGGATTGTTGCCCTTCTGGTGAGTAAAGCAATGACAAAGCAGGTTTGTGTTTATCGGCTATCTTCTTTCAAATATACCCTGCTAATCCTGCCTTTTATTTTTGTTGGCTTTGTCTTTTATAGGGCTTTCTTGAATTGGACGATGACTACTATTAAAGGTGTTTGTTGAAGGTGATAGAGACAGTATGCAACTGCTAGAAACTGAACTTTGGATACCGGATGGAGGAACTATACAGTATGGATCGGAATTCCTGCTGGTTCTGTTGATGTCAGAAATTGCTATTGGTCCTGTGTCTATGTCGGTGGACACGTGTGTATTTGCAATCAGTAAGAAGAGTTCAGTGCAGCTTAATGGTTTTTCTACTTGTTTAGCAACAACCCTGCTGAGAGTCTGCTGGAAAATTTTCCATTTCCTTCTCTAGCGATAAACAAGGTACTCAGATTTGTAAGGCGTTAAGTGTTGAGCCTGGAGAGCCTGCCTGTCTCAGTGAGTAGAAACTAGTGAATTAGAGACCTTTGCAATTAGTAAACTTTTTTGTTAAGTGGCTTGTGGTTCAATCATTCCAGATCCCTTTTTCTGCACTGATAGACACTGCAATATATTATTCTTCATGGGTGAATTCTGATTTTAAATCTGAATTTTCTATGTAGTTTTTGGTTCAATACCTATTCAATTCTAGGAATTACATTACTTATGCATCTTATGATGCTGTTGAAAAGGTGAAAATTGAATTTTTTCCACTAACCAGTGGTGGTAATTTGAAAATAGAAAAGAGGAGGAGAGAAAAGAAGATTATCTTCTCCCTTTGATTCACTCCTCCAGTCAATAAATATCTTCTCCTTCTACACATTTGAATAGGAAAGAAGAGAACAAAGAGAAAGAAAACATCAAACATTCTACTGCACTCTGTATGCACATTTAATCAGATAATCTGCATTTAGCTTGAACTATTGAGTCTTTTTCCATCCATATATGTCTTCAACACCGTTTGTCACCCTCTTTCTTCGCTCTGCAATCATATCCGAATACACCTGATAATATAAAAACAATGTGAAATCGAACTTGCAGTCAGTCATTTTTCCGCCGAATGCCATATATCATGAATTTTCATTTCAGAAACTCATTCCATTTTCTTCCCAAAATCTAACTTAAACAATCTGAAGAATCATCTAAGGATGGTCTCATAAAGATAACAATGAAGATTAGAGAAACATCTTTCGTTTGAGGCGACACAGACTTTTTAGCAAGATCATAACAAAATGAAAAGCATGCAGTGAAGAAATAGAAGGCAATGCTTTATACCTTTGGGTAAGAATAAAGGAAAATATACCACCAAATGCCAATTAGCAGGATTACAGCCGAGGTAACCACAAGGGAGTGCAAGATTAGCCAGCTACAGGCGATGGCCGATACGCCTGTAAGTGTTATCGTCCAGGGCTGACACCTAGGGAACAAATCATACCAGTGCTGAAAGTCATGAAATGTAACCATGTAACTCAATATACAGAAAGCAGGCTGTTCATAAGATGGAATCTCCAAGACATCCCTGCATTTTTACTACAGAATCACGAAGTTTAATTGAGAAAATGGCATGGTGAGAAAAGAACACAATGAAGTGGAAAAGCTTTTAATCAGAATGCAGTTCTTGAAAATTATTACAGAAGCATGCATGATGTAAGAAAATTATCATAGAAGCTTTACAGAATCATATAGCTCTCAAAACTTATCACTCTCATATAATTCAAGAAACCCATTTGATCATTTTTCATCACCCGGGATAGATCCAAGATCTTAAACTGTTCTTTCAGCCTACAAAACAAATTCATAATTTTTTTTTTTTGTAAAACTTATTTAAAAATCCTCACTTTTAACTATAAAATAATGAAATTTTATTTAAAAGCGAAAACTTTTAAGTGAAATTAAAGCATCCCAGAGTCGATGAATGATAAAATTTAGAGAACAAGCGAGAAATTCTAGATAAAATTTGCCAAGCTTATTGATTTGCCGGGTGCCTAAAAAAATTTAATCAAAGAAAAATCACCCAACACCATCGCCATTATGCTTAGCTGCAGTGAAAACGATGGCGGTGAAGCAAGAACTAAGGAGTAAAAGTGTAAAACAATGGATACCCAGAAGGAAAAGACTGCGCACCAGGCAGGCTTCGTATCCCAAACAGAATCATATTCGAGAGAAAGGTAATTGAGGTAGCCTTCCATGTCGTCGACGACGCCGTCTTCGTCTACGAACATGGGTTCTTTGGGGTCACTAGGGTTCTCCCCAAAGACGAGGGTGCTGGTACGAGGCTTGGCGGATTTAAAAGAGCGCAACGAGAGGCGACGGCTCGAAATGGGTACTGCCAGACGAAGATGGTGGGTTCCATTTAGGAGAGACAGTGAGAGAGAGATGCCGAGAGTTCCCATTTTCTGTGGAAGAAGGGGAATTCAGAATCCTCCTTGCTTATTTCCTGTGATGGGTCGGTTGGGATGACTAAACGGTGTCGTTTTTGTAGCTGTATGCTGCTAACATATATATATATATGTATATTAAATACAGTTTTGTTCAGGTATTGAGTGATTATATGAGAAGAAGGCTGAGAGATCCTTGATTTACATGTCTGATGCCCAGTCAATCAGGTTGCAGGCCAATACGTCGTCGTTTTTTCATTTTGCAGCGAACAAATCTTCTTTTCCTTCTATTTCTGGGTATTGTTCATGGGCAAACAGAGCATCCACATTGTAAGAATTATCCTATTTACAGAACCGCACGGCTTCTATTTCTTTCAGGTTGAATCTTCATAGTATAAGATTTCTTTGTGCATAAACATTATGGGTTTTTAATTAGTTTATGCAGTGATTAATAATGGCAGACATGCATGATTGCAATCTTTCTCAGCTGGGTTTTGTCTTCCACCTTTGTTTTTCAATCCAGATATGATTTGCTCATGTCTTTTTCTTCTGCCTTTTTTTTGAAAAAAAAAACTATGCCAGAAGAATAATCTGTCATTGTATATAAACAAGACAAGAATTAACATTTGTTTAACGATTAAATTAATCAATCATGTCATAACACTCATATTTTTTTTTTGGAAACAAAGGAGAATCAAATAAAAATTTACAGGGGATTTGCAGGGTAGATTAGTGCTTGAGCTGTTCATGAGTTTGATTCTCCTTTTTTGAGCAGTTCAAGCACATAAAATGGATGTACCCATCACTTGTTTCTTTTCCTTCTCAGTTTCTCCCTCTTCCTTTTTCTTGTCTCTCAAATAAGAGAAGAACAATCTCAACATGCTCTTGATTTGATGATTCATGGGAAAAAAAATAAGGTTATTTTTAGAACAAATTACCCTTTTCTTTTTCAAAAGAATCTATACTTGCTTCAACTCATAAGTGATGAAAATTTACTATGATATGATAAAAATTAAAGTCATATTGAAACAATGGTAGCTAAACAAAACTGGATTTCCAAACATTGAGTTCAAAAATTCTAGTGCCACGAACCGTCACCAATTACAGAAACTCCATGCATTCTTAGGTGTAGTTCACAAGACCAAGAACCGAATCATGGGACTTCCCCCACATTTGTCAAAATTCTCCAGCTTGGTCTATCAAATGCTATCAGACAGACGATGGGAAGAGAACTTTTGAATCTATTCAAGTTTTCTTCTCCTTTCATCGTGTGAAATAATTGAGTAGGGTAACCAGTTATTTCAAAAACTTAGTTAACGAGAAATAACTCGATTTACTATTTGTATTCCAACACTATAATAGCAATCCATATTTCATTATAACTTGTATACACTCTTGAAGGGATGGTTCTTTCTTAACAGAAATCCCCTTGACCATTCCGTTGAAACAAACAAAAAAAGAAAGAAAAAAAAGCCATGAAAGGGGATTCAGAACTACTGTTTATCAATTATGGGTCCAAGTCTTCTCTTCCAAACCATGAACAGAAAATATACAATGATGATAATCTAATATACAATGCAAAGATTTTGAAGTACCTGTCCTTGGCTCTGGCTTTATATCAAGGCCCTAAATCTTCAACACCTATAGACGAAAATTGTAAATAATGGCTGAATATCAAAATCAAGAAGAAAGGTCTAGAGCAGTTAATTCTGAATATCTGGTTTCTGGAAAAAGCAAGACTTATAGCTCAAAGTACAAGATTAGCCAGCCTTAGTTGCAGTATAAAAAGGAAGCTTAATCTCACTGAAATCTTTTGCCTTCATTTCTTGTTGCCAAAACCCAATATGCAACCAGAATTTTGGAACTTATCTTGTTTCATGGCTAGGCAAAAAAATGATACAGGTAGCATTGGTCCAAGCAATAGAAACACAAGAGTGCATAAGTTCACACAGTTATATATTATTATAAGCTATAGACAAGAGAAGAAAAATGAGGAGAAGCAAAGTGATAATCATATATAAGTCACTTTTACTGTAATTCAATTGCATTGTATACAAAACCTTATAGCAGAAAGTTTAACACTTCTATTCGTTCTTCCAAGCATACAGTACCAACGAGAAACCAAGACCTTGTAACTGATATTCTCTAAGTTGATGAGAGTAAGACCAGGATAACTTAGAAGGATCAAAAATGGATTGGCTGGCCCAGAATTTCTCTGAAGAGAGACAAGTTTGAAACATGAAAACTGCATTCCCCATAGAATTCCCAAAAAGCCAATTATGCACATCCCAAAATACTTCCACAGGAAGACCATCCACCAAAATGGTGTGATTTCCCCTGAACTTCCATTTTAGCCGCTTGATCTGCATAACAGTCTTGCTATCAATCCGGATCACAAGGCTAGGATCTTTTAGATCCACTGTGTCACATTCAATTGACACATCATGCATCTGCCCCTTATCAAAAAACTGAGCCTTGGCACCATAAAATTTCTTCCCAAATATGTGTTCTCTCTTGGCAATGAAAACGGCATTGGAGTCAACAGGAGAATTGTCAATTTTCTTGTACGCTTCCTTCTTCATATCTCCGAGGAGCAAAGCCATTTCTTTGTTAAATGCAACAGCCAAAAAGAAATCTTCCACTGGTTCTGGCCCAGAACCAAATTTAGCATTAGAGAAATCCCATGATATGTCAATTTTACCAGAATCTGAGTCTAGATTCTTTGACCCTTTTCTCTTGGAAAACAACCATGGCTTTATATCAACTCTACAGATGCATTGATTAGTAGAATCATCAATTGCAACACTAAGGCCTTGACCCATAAGATTTTTGGTCCATGTGACAGTAATCAAGCAAGAACGACCATGTAATTTACACTGATAAACACAAGTGACTAGATTTTGTGCAGCTTTGTTTGTACCTGAGGATGAGGAATCAGCAACTTGGACGCCATTCTCACCAAAACAAGAAGGGAAATCCCTCATTGTCACGTCAAGTTTGAAAATTTCTTCTTTACTGATTTTCAAAAACCGGAACTTGTACGAAAGAAAAGATAAGATCTTCTACCTCAGTTAACTAAAGCTGAAGAACTCAAGAACCCATCACCCAAATGCTACGAAAGCAGCCTCTTTTCTCTTCAATTCGATCTTCAAGTCCGAATTTTCCAGCCCACAATCGCATGCGAATGATAGAGAGAGAAACTAGATTTGCTTCACTGTCAAACGCCCTGTCTTGGCCAGAAACTCCATCTCCAAAATGAGCACAGAACTGATTCAAGAAAAGAAGTAAAAGAGAATAGGATACAGAGAGGAAAATGCAGGAGACAAAGAGAGAGAAAGAGAGAGACAAAGAAGGAGAGAGGAACGGTTGGAGTCACATGGGAGGAGAAAGAAGAAGCCTAAACAAGAAGAAACGGCAACTGGGTATTTGCTGGAAAAAAAGATTGGTTAATTATACTACGCTATACAGTAGAGAGAAAAAGCAAAAGGCATTCCTTTTATTTTTTAAACAAAATCAAGAATTTGCTCTCTCTTTTTTTTTTTCTAACTCTCTTTCTTTTTCATTCTTGTCCATAATTAGGAGAATATTTATATAATATATGCATTAAGTGACCACAAAAAACAAGTTTAAAAAAGCCTAAACACAGACAAAAGGGTAACTTTTGAAGAACCCAAATCAGCAAGGATTTTACTTTTGTATAGTTGTATTTGGCTCTGCCAGACAAAGACAAATTCTATGGTAGTGGGAAAACTTTGAATAAGAAAAACAGAAAGACTGGTTTTTTTTTTTTTGGACAAAAAGATAAACTCAAAGAAATCCACTGTGACCCCTATAATGGGTAAATTAGATTGAGACCTTATGAATTCAATATATATATATATGTATCTGTGTATGTATATTTTACATGTGTTAAGGGATTATTAAGAACCACAAGGCTCTTAAAACATGAAAAGTTTTGTAACATCATCTAACATAATGAAGGAGGAAGGTGAGGAGTATTTAAGGAAGTATGGTTTGTTTATAATCGAATATGTAATAAAACTTAATATGAATGAAGTGGTTTTAGAGAATAAAATTAGAAAGTAAATATTTGTTATCTTAAATGAGAAATTTATTGACTGTCTGTAATTTTTTTTTTTTTTATAATTTTTGTTTAAATAAATTCTTATATATATATACACGAGTAAACCACTAATTGGTATTCAGATTGTGAGACAATAAAAAGACGATATATTTATTTTACGAGCATTGCTAACATAAACAACGAAAATCTCTAAAACCTAACCTCTGATATTTTTTGCTCGTATATAGTTTGTTTTATGATATCTAGTAAATAAGATTTATCTAATCATTTCTTTGATTCCAAGTACTAAGAGATTAATATATTTTTTCTCGTAAGAAGAAAAATCTTCGTATGTTATACTATTAATTAGTGTAATGTATGAAACTGATGAAATACACTTCATAGTTATAAATATATTATTTTTAACATGATAAGATAATATAGATACGATAAAAAAAAATTATTGGTTATAAATATATTTAATTAAAAATTGATTAATTAATCAATAATATATGTAAAAATTATTTTATTATTACATCATATAGAGTAATTGAGCAATAGTTGAATATAAATTTTTAATTTTAGGCAGAAGTGCACTAAAAATATATTTTATGCAAATTATATTTTTCTATTATTTAAAAAGTTCAAAATAATAACAATATATTATCTTTTTTTTTTAACAATACGTAAAAATGATGAAAAAATAAATTGGAGACTGTGTTATTTATTCGTGGTGCTTTCTGTCATATGCATTTACTTTAAAGTTTTGAAAAGTTTCTCCTCAACGTAAAAAATCAAAACATCATTCTACCATCGTTCTAGTTTTCGAACACGTAATGTAATTACCAAGTTTAATTCTACTATTCAAGAAGATTCGAATGTACTGATAAAATATTTGAAGAAAAAAAAATATTATAAATCTTCAGCATATAATCACTAAAAAACTATCTTTAATATAAACTGTGTGAATAATAATATTATTCTCTTCATTGTAGAAGTTACAACGTAAAAAATTATATACTTTAATCTCTATATTTCTATATTTCGACCGATATATCATTGATTTCTAACTCAAATTATTTATTTCTTCGTATATAATACATTAGGTTCGGTATCTTTCCTCCTCAAGAAAGTGATGTTCTAAATTTTCCACATTCAAAATGTTTTAAGAGAGATCCACATGAACTACTTTTCTCCTCTAACAAACCTACTTGCCAACTTCTTCCGACATTTTGACGCATAAATTTAATTACGATAATAAAAATTAATCCATTGCTCGATTTCGTTAAAATTAAACTTTTAATTACCATTCATTGTACTTAAATCTTATATCTATCAGGTTTTATTAATTCAAAAATTCGTATACTAATATACATAAATTATTATTATTATGACAATTTATTTGCTTTTTTTTTTTTTACATTCTTAATTTATTTCCACCTTATTTTTTTTAAATTTTTAATATTTAAGGAATATTTTCTAGTTTTTAAATATAAAAATTTTAAAATTCTTTATGTTGTGAAATAGGTATGGTCCATCACATGCATTTGTTATATTTTCAAAATAATAATAATAATAATAATATTTGGGCAATACATACACTTAAGCCTTATGGGTGGGGGCCATTTTCAAATTTTAATAATTTGGGACCCTTTTTTTTTTATAAATTAAATTTTATTTGTCTTCTAGTTTAAAAATTATTTATATTATATTATAATTAGTGTTTATGTATTATTTTATTAATTAATATATGATTTTTTTAAAAAAAATAAAAATAAAATCAACAATAATTGCAAATATTTTGATTTTGATACTTACCTCTCTTTTCACTTTATTAAACCATTGCTCAAATAATTTAATGACTAGTAGTTTATATACATACACATATATACATATATATATATATATATATGATTCAATCTAATATATATATATATATATATGATTCAATCTAATATATATATATATATATGTGTGTGTGGGTGGGTGATATTTTTTGGCATTAATTATGTGGACAGTGGTCCCAGCTGTGTTTCTTGTGGTATCTTGTTTCTCTATCTGCAAGGCTTGCAGTTGGAGGAATAGCCAATACGACGTCGTAGCAGGGGAAATGGATTTTAATGCACCTCCGAAAGCTGAAAGCTGCTTACTTTGGAATCATTTATCTTTTTGGGTTTATTCTCATCGTAACCCACAACTTTCTCCTTATAAATACATAAATTATTTAATAAATTAAATAATTAAAATTTGAAAAAGAATATATTTGAAAATAATTAATAAAAAAAATGTATATGTGGTGTGGTTGAGATGAGATGAATGTAGGAATTGACAGAGCAGGGGAAGAGGATAAGTACAAACACACAACATGTATCTACTCATTTATTATACATATTTTCAATCAATTTCTTGCTTTAGTTCGTATAGGAATAGTCAGAGAAGAAATATAAATTGAGTGTTTGGAATATCAGATAACTAAAGCATAATGAATGTTATATATATTATATATGAAAATGTAATTAATAATACTTCTTCTTCTTTTAAATACACAGTGTACTTTAGATTCATACTCATAAACTGTGTAAACAAAATATGTACCAATACTTTTGAATCAAATTCAAAGCTGTCAAATTCCATGCAATAAATACATGAATTCATAAGTTGTGCTTGACCCACTTTTTAGTGTACAAATATTTCATAAGAAAGTGTGTGTGTGATTACAAAAGTGTGGTTTCATGAGAGAAATTTTGCATTGTTTCTGTGCTTCCTCCTTAAATGCATAAATTCATAAGTTGTGTTTGACCCACTTTTTAGTAGACAAATATTTCATAACAAGGCTAGTGTGTGTGTGTGTGTGCGCGCGCGCGTGTCTGTGTCTGTGTCTGTGTCTCTGTGTGTGTGCGCGCGCGCGCGCGACTACAAAAGTGTGGTTTCATGAGAGAAATTTTGCATTGTTTCTGTGCCTCCTCCATAAATTCATAAGTTGTGTTTGACCCACTTTTTAGTAGACAAATATTTCATAAGAAGGTGTCTGTGTGTGCGTGTGCGTGTGCGTCTGTGTGCGCGTGCGTGTGCATGTGCGTCTGTGAGTGTCTGTGTGTGTGTGATTACAAAAATGTGGTTTCATGAGAGAAATTTTGCATTGTTTCTGTGCCTTCTCCATAATTGACCATTATTATACCTTCTCATCATATCTCTTACTTGCACTGCAATTATTGCCTTAAAAATATAATTCACCAGAGGCAAGATTTTAGCTCTCTATACCTGTGTGTGTGTGTGTTGTACACATACGTGACTGGCGTTGGCACTGGACGGTCCTAACTCGCGAGTCCCAAACGGACCTCCCATGACCACACACGCCTTGTGCTGGTGACATGACATACGACATAAACCTGTACAGCCCTGCATCAAAGTGGGAATTTTTCTTTTTCTTGAGAAATATTCAATCATGAATACCCAAAACCCAAAACCTAATTTTCTTGGCTGATTTTGGAATGACACCAGTCGCGTGCTCTCCCTAATTAATCATTGCCATTCCCAATTATGAAATCTCTCCCTTGCTTTTTCACACCTTCTCCCTCACTCTTCCTACAAAAACAAGTTTTGGGGAAAGAACAAATCTGTTAAACAATCTAATCAAGTAGATACATCATTCATCATTCATTACAGATTGTTTTGAAGAAATACATAATTATATGAAATTAGTAGTAAAATTTGTCTTCATAACTTCAATAAAATCATGAACATTTTGAACTCAAAATTTCACAATTTAAATATTGATCCATTTAGCAAATTGCATTTTGTTTTTGATAGGCCCAGTATTTAAAAGAAGAAGTGAACTACCCAATACTACTACACTGATTTAAGAGAATGTAGAGAATCAGAAGATTATATCATCATAAAAAATGAGGATCATATTGCGGCATTGTGTAAGAGAGGTTCTTCATAGTTAGCGACAGAAGAAAATCTAACTACGAAGAATCCTCTTCCTCACATGGGAGTGTTTTGACCTGTACAAGTTTGTGGGTTTTGTGTGTGTGTTCGTAAATATACAACAGCACGTATATAATTTGGCCAACTATAAGTTTAGTCTCTATACGTATAAAGGAGATTCCAAGACAGCTGCAGTGTGCACGCAAAAAGGCAAAAAGCTCAATCCTTTTGAGCTTTGAAACCCTTGTTTCGGACAAGCAACAATAAAAATTTACGGCAAACGTTAAAAGAAATACAATTCGATATGCCCAAGACCATTAAATCACAGTACAGTTTCGGCTATGACATAAAATGAGGTCTGAAATCTTAACTCTGAACTTACAGTTCTTAAAATGAATTCTAAAAATCTAAATGATTACTTGTTCCAACAATTTGTAAGATTACCCATACGACCACTCAAATCTTGGTGATCATGGTACACATGGTTGCTTCAAAAGAAAACTAAGTGGAAAGAGAAACAAGAAAGAAAATTGATGAATGTTCAATCATTTCATCCTCCAAAATCAAATCCATCCAAACAGAGAAGAAACAAACCACACCTTAGACAGAATCATGTTTTCTTCTCTTCTACTTTTCTAATTCTACTCTATTACACAACAATAGTTATTGATAACTAAGCATTTGTCTTCTACAAGCTTTGGCTTATAGCATACAATTTATATTCTAGCAGAATTATAAACAGCTGCTTCCTTTGACACCATCAGAAATGCCAAAGTGATGTAATTAACACGACACTTTTTACTCTTAAAAAATCTTCAGCCACAAAATATCAGAAAAGTAAAAAAGGGTAATGACATTCCAACGAGGAATCCTAGAAACATCATCAATAAAAGGAACGGTATAATTCCTACCCATGTGAGCCTATAGGGAATGTGGAGTCCAACAGCACCATCCTATGCAGAATCTGTTTGATATGATGGAAGCAAAAGTTGATATTCTGAGAAAGCAGAAAATCAAATTTCTCCTACTGTTTCTATTCTCATATCTGCATCGTCTTAATATACTCTTCATGATGATCATTGAAATCTAAAAACAAAATCAAGCAGAAAAATATTCAAGGGAGATGTATTGTGTATATCAGAGAGTCCTTTCTCCATCAAAAAAATGGAAAAAGTTGGGATAACATAGAGAAGAGAAATCCAGATGATGAATGTACGAATAACTTTCTTGTGTTTGGCTAGCCAGCATTCACCAAGCTTTCATGCCTTAAAACAGTTGGATGCATATATCATACATACAATATCATTGCCATTCTTAGATGAAAGAGCCCAAATTACTGCAACAGAATCCACACTCCCAAAGCTTTATATAAAAGATGGGCTCCATGTGGTTCTTTGCTTTCCCTAACTATTAGGAAGAAGAGAACAGACAACATGTGACTGGTATCTTTTCTGGACAAGAAATCTTGCAAGCCTTCTATCAAAAACCTAGGAGCAGAGTTCATGATGTCAAAAAGTTCAATTAAATTCAGTGCGTCTGACGGCAGGAGCAATTAGCCAGAACAAGTTTCTTATATTTTTGAAATCATGTATCTTTATCTGAGACCCACTTAAAAGCTGCTTATAAGTGTCTAATTACCATTACCCCAACTCACTCTGAAGCATGAAAAAGCTACCACCTGTTTGTAACCAAAGACCCATGAGCTCAAAGGAAATAAGTCGAGCATGATGTTAAAGAATTTAATCAAATTAAGTGGGTCCGATGGCCTGAGCAATTAACTAAGTTTGCCATAGTCTTTCCATGTTAAGCTGCTGAAATGGCCACTTAATCCCCCTTGGTCTGAGGGTGGAAAAAAATGTATTTCCATAGATACACATCTGGAAGATGCTCATAAAGATGTCCTAGAGTGCACAAGTCTAAAATCTCAAATCACTTTCAAGCTACTTGTTAAATAAATCAAGAATTTTTGTGAAATTTATTTAAGAATTTATATATATATTTTAATTATAAGGGATGAAAATTCTACTAGAACACCATAAAAATTTTGAGTTCATAAAAGTTGTCAGTTGGAATTAGATCAGTAAATTCTAATTTCATCAATTATGAGGGGATATAGAATTCAGTGCATAAATTCCACTTAAAATCCTGAGCTGTTTTTATCATTTTTCATAAAACTTGTATCATATCCTTGAACTAAATGTCAATTCCAAATGAATTAAACAAAAATCTTCATTCATTCCAAATATAGACTTAGCAGTAGATAACTCGAGTAAAGAATCATTTTCAATATTGTGTCTTCTCAACCTGAAATGGGTGGTGGATCTCTGTTAAGGATGAATTTTGTGCACGGAGTGGTATTTTTACTCATAAGTCAAAGAAAAAGTTTATTCTGATTGTTTCTCTTTCTATTTTTTGAGTTACATGGAAAGAGTGAAAAGGTGGAGCTTTGACAACTCTTTCTCCCCTTTCCATGAGATTCGAGATTTCTGGTTTGGAATTCTATGTATTTTGCTTAAAGGGCACCCCATGTCTGATAGTGTTGATATTTTGGATCTTTTTATCTTCCCTTAGGGAGATTGTAAACTATGTATTCTTGACTGTACTTGGGTTGCACCTAATTGGCGCTTTTAGTAGTATCTTTGTTTCTCTAAAGGAATCATCTCATTACCTGAGGTCAAAAGAGGTAACATATTTTCTCGAGGCCCCAAACTGTGTGAGTCAAGCATAAAACTAATACAACAAGGAACAGAATTCCAAAACCTGTACAAGAAAACTAGCCTTTGCATCACATAAACATGTAGAAAAGAGGGTAGCACAAGGGGAGTAGCAAACTGATAGCTCCTTCATCTTGCTCTCCTTTCTTTTATTCCCCAAAAAAAATTCTTTATATTCTGATGGGAGGTGTCTAAGATAGTTAAGTCTTTATTGCACAGAAGCTCTTCCTATCGGATAAAAAACGTAAGACAAAAATTCAAACTTTGATTGAAATTCCAAATATACATGTCAATCTTAGCTCATTCTTTCGTTTCATGAAGATGTCCACAGCAATTCACCAAACACTTTTGGCATGTAACATTAGGTTGATGTCAATTTATCAACAACATTAGTACTCACTATCATTCAAATCAGGTAAACTTATCCAGAAGTCCCCATAATATACACATACATCCAACAAACGTCTGTGTAGCCTTTTCCACGAAATAAACCATCATTAAAATTTACTTCCAGATATAATATACTTATTTTCTAATTAGGATAAAAACCGAAGCTCAAGCTACTTACAAAGAAGTTAAAACACTGTATCCAAGACATGCAAGATTGTGCAACTTCACTTTGAGCTGATAATAACAGATGTTGCCATTAAACTAGCATATGAGAAGATAAAACTAAAACATGAATAAATGGTCAACTAGTAGAATATAAAATTCAAGTATGAATAAATGGTAATGCAGATAGTCCTCTAAGATGTGGAATATGTAAACAAGCTAATTCCTGTCTTCCTTGGAAGAACTCCCGCAATTTCGCTCATCCATGTTCGCACATCGAAACCAGGTCGTACCCACTAAGCACAACAAATTTAAATTAGCCTATAGCTGACCAAAATTGAATTGATAAAGAATGCATGCAAACTTAAGTAACTCTCAAGTTCCTACAATAGCCTCCCTCAATCAGATTTCAGATAAGGGCAATCTGTGTAACATGAACAACATGAAATGAGACATGCAACACAGGCAGCTTGCTTTCAATGTATAACTAACAAAGACAAGAAGCAACATTAAGAAGGTTTGCTGAGAGAAGGAGAAGATATCATTAAAAGGCACCAAGGGGTTGCCACCAACTAACAAACAATATTAACAAAAGATCAGAGACCATCCATGTATCAAGCATAGGATGCCCTGTAAACGAGATATTCAGGGTGTGGAACCAGTGATCCAAAAAACATCAAGACGTTATCCCCCTATGAATCTCCTGGAATGTGCTTCCTCTGTAAACTTTTTATGCCAAGGAAGTTGGTTCATCTTTCTTAATGCATGAATCAGAAAAAATCTTTACCCCATATCTGAATTGAAAAACATGAAACCTACAAAAATCTCTAGATAACTAAACAAACAGAAACTAGTTTAAATTCAATAAATTATTGCATACTTCTCGGTGAGCAACTGATATGCATTTTTAAGTCAGATCATCTTCAATAGTCAAAGAAACTGAATGCAATGCCTAATTTGCTTATGATCTAGTCAAGAAGTGAGGTAAAATTTAATCATCATTTAACTCAAAAACATCATCCGTGAAACATGAAATTAAAAGACAAGACAACACAGTATTTAACATACAATGAAGATCAAGCATCAGCACCATCAGCTTTTCCAGCAAAAGGGTCATGGGTAGGACCAACATCTTGCCCAATGTGGCGCTGCACCAGGCGCTGTAAATCTGCCATAACCTTGTGTTCGCGTTTTGCCTTTTCTTCGTAATTGAACATAGCCAAGGCCCGCTTGTCCTCCGCACTATAAACCTGATTTTCCTTTCTAATACGAATGGCATTCATCCTCTGATGCCTGCTACCACTCATCACATAACCAAGACTCTCAAACTTCTGAATCTCCTCGGCAGAAAGACCCACTTCACCTCTTCGTGGAATACGCTTCCCTTGCTGCACATACTGTGCAATTGCGTCACCTTCACCGGGCCTCAAAGCACCACCATAACTAATATGCCCTTCAGCTTTGGGCAATGGCATTGGCCCGACTACTGGTTCATTATCTAGAGCAGGCTTCTTCTGTGCTTCAATCATTTCCTTAAAAACGAGAGCCTCAGCATTAATCTCAGCCTTCTTTGCCTCTTCTGCCTTCACCTTGCTTTTCGCATCCTCTCCAGAACCAGAATTCCCATCAGAATACGAACTCTCAGTCTCCGCGTCAGATTTCTTCTTTCTCCTACTCCGTTTAGATCGGGAACCCGAAGGACGTTCCCGCTTGTTCTCCCTCTTATTCGACTTAGCTTGATCATCAGCAGACCCACCAACATCAGATTCCTCACTTTCTTCGCTCGAGCTCTCATCAGAATCACTTTGCCTACGACTCTTTTTCCTACTTCGCTTTCTTTTACTAATGCTTTTCCTACTACTCTTTCGTCGGGTACTCTTCCTTCTCCGCCTACGATCTTCCTCATCATCATCCGATTCACTCTCGCTCTCACTCTCTTCCTCCGACTCGCTATCACTATAGGAAGATGATTTCGTTCTTCGGCGTTTAGAATTCGAACTCTTCCTCTTCCTTTTTGCTCTCGAATCATCAGATTCAGACTCAGACTCAGAATCATCCTCAGATTTCCCAGACTCAGACTCGGCGACTACCTTTCCATTAATCCGTTTCTCTCTCTCCTTCTCGCCGGAATCACTCCTTTCTTCGGCATCTTCACCGTTTTTCCCGTAAATCTCGCCGGCTTTGTCCTCCAACTCATCATTTGCGTCTCTCGGGGGACTCGGCGTGTTCTGCCAGAAGCAGAACTTCATTGACTTCCTCATCTTCTGCCGCTTCAGCCGTCTGTACTCCTCGTAGCTCAGTCCCTTCAACTCCTCGTCCGATTCGGACTCCGGATCCCTTTCGCTCCGGTAATCGCGTTCCAGGTAGCTCTGATTCTTGCCGAATTTCCTGGGAAGAGTATGTAAGACCCGGTCGCGCTCGGGACTTGCACGCCTTCTTCTAGGATCCGCATATTCCAGAGAATCCGACCGCGAACGGGAGCGGGAGCGGTAACGGCGTTCGCGACGATCAGTATTGCTGTCGTAGCTGTCGTAGGAGGGGCTACGACGGCGTCGGCGGTAGTCAGGCGAATGGTCTGATTCCGGTGTATATCGACCGTTTCTGTCGGAACGGTGCCGTCCGTATGGCACCTCTTCAATGGAGGCTTGACGACCCATCGGAGATTTTGAGTTACAGAAAGAGAAGCCTTATGCTGCAAGTCCGCGCAACACCTCCAATCGCACCCACAGCTCTGAGGGAAGGATTTGGGGATTGTCGAAAGGCACGGAGGGGAGGGAAGGGCGGAAGGCTTCCTTTTTATACCCGACTCTGATCCGGCGTCGTTTGATTTAACCGACTAAAGAGACGAGCCTCCAATAATCTTTACTTCATTTTTAATGGGTCGAGTCTAACTTTAACTATATAAACTTCAATAAACTTCCGCACCCGTGCGTCCTGTTTTCTCTAATTTTTTTTATTATTTGTATGAAGTCCTCCCAATTTCTTAAATAAAAAATGTATATGTAATTGCCAAAGTATTTATTCACATTCCAAATTCTAAATTCCAAATTATTGCTTCTTTTAAGAGTTGAATTAATTACGTAACATTCAATCTATATAATGTAGAAATATCTATAAATTATAGCAAGGCAGAAACCAGTTAACTGAAATGATAATGTTTTACCCGATTATCAATGTTTTCAAACCAGTTCATAGATAGATAGATAGATAGATAGAAATAATTTGATGCCCCGAATACGTATATAACGCCTAAGTTGGAGGGTTTGCATGCGGCGGCGACATCTTCGGAAGCTGCTTAATGAAATTTAGAAGAGAGTCAGTACATTAACCAGAGAGTTTAACGCACCTTACCATCGAAGCAGGTTGAATATGCTGTGACTTATTGTAGGTATAGAACCAAATAAAAACCTCTCCGACGACCTTTTTGCATCATAGGAGGGGAAGGCCGGAAAAACATTGGGGCATAAACCACTACCTTTATGATGACTAATAATAATACAACGGTGTTCTGTAAGAATTATACAGCTACACTACATATGAACAGAAGGAGATCGAACTGAAGCAGCGGAAAGGAAAATTAATAAAAATGACCTCCCCCCCCCTCCCTCTTCCCCCACACCCCCGGGAGACTTTACGGTCACACTTTTGCACCAAGTATCGTGACTTCAGCTTCAGAAATCCTATAGACATCCACTGTCAGTTGGATTCATCAACCACCCTCAACCTCTATGCCTCCTTCCTGATATTTGAAGAATAAAAGAGCAGGTTGTTAAGGAATTCAAAAGGTTACTTAATTTATGTTTAACATTCAAAATCAGATTCACAAAAGAACATTTAATATCCCATTTTTTAGTTGCACACTACTTAGAGGAGGGAAAAGAAATAGTAAAAAGAAAATACAAGGTATGATCTATGATCAAGTGTAGCAAGTGCCTTTGTTAATCGGATTTGCCCTTGTCCTTAAAGAATAGAGTTGGGAGTGAAAACAGAACGCAAGCACAAAGGTGTTAATAATTTTTAAAAAATAAAAATAAACGAACGTGTTAGTAATAAGACGAATCAGATTTGTTGTTGTCCTTATTTCTTTTACTTTTATTCCATATGACCTCCCCATTCTAGTAAGGAGATAAAAGAAAAAGAATAGAACTCAAGCAAGAAGGTAACAGGAAAACAAAAATTGCAATAATGTGACAACTGACGAAAACGTAAAGCAATATCATGTGCTCAGCAGGGAAACGTTCGAGCATTTTTGTTATTCCTACATAAGCCTTCCATTTTTTAGGGCAAAAACATTCCCTGAGCCTCGGAATCTTCACCAACGAGAGAGTAAAAAAGAAGGCCGATGAAAAAGCAAGCACATGTAGCTAGAACATCATATATAATGGCAGTAAGCAAAAAGAAGAAAACTTAATGACTCCCAGTGTTCTAAGGAAAGAAAGGAAATAGTACCTGGTTAATTTGGTGGCAATAATTTCTATCCTTGCTATATTTGATAATCCACCTAGATAACCAGAAAATCTACCTCGTCTGAGCTTTCCTCATAAACTACAAAACCCGAGTCTTGACCTTCCTCGTTTCCACTACTCTGGTCACTGTTGTAGCTGCTCTCTGATGAACTCATTATGAAGGAACCATCTGACATCTGACTGCTTGTCTGTGATGGTAAGCTGACCTCCCCGCTAATTAGGTCACTGTCCATCATTTGTTCAATGTCGATATAGCTGCAAAACCCAGAACCCGAACAATAATTGGTAAAACGTCACCTATTGATACTCTGTTCTTGAACAACCCAAGTTCTGCTAGATCACCGATAATAATTTAAGGAAACCAACCTTCCTTCCGCCGGGAAGTCAGCCAGCAAACAGATACCAGGTCTTTCTTCCATTACTTGCTTTAGGGGAATGATACTGCAAATGGACACAGTTTAGATAGCACTGAAGAAATAGGCAATACAATCAATAATCAATCACAAAATTTTCGTTAGAGAAAAGAACAAAGATCAAGAAGAGCAACACAATACCCTGAGCTATAACATCTTTGGTACCAGTCACCTTCTGAAGCCAAACCTTCCCTATTAGATATGTCCTATTGGAGGAGAGAAACAGAAAATTAATTGAAACTTTAAAGTGCATTTATATTTTAAGGGAAAAAAACAACATAGGTCCACCCACAAGGTGTTGAAGGTACTTGAAGTCTCCTGCAAGGACTGCTGTCAAGAACCGAGCAACTTCTACCTGTACATGGAATTAAGAGTCAGGAGAAACAATAACCTAAATAGGGAGAGGCCTGCAGAAACAGCTTCACCTCTTTAAGATGCATGCAGTCCCGCAAAATCAAAACCTCCAATAGGTTCCCACCGGTGCTGTTTCCAAGATTCCTAATATTCAGAATATTAAAAAAAAAAATTATCAACATATGGAAAGAGAGTGCATCTGAGAAATTCATCTAACAGATACAAAAAATTTCAGTATATGTTTACCACAGGATATACACAGACCTTAAAAACTGACCAGTGATTGAGTATGAAGTTGAAAAATCAATATACTTTAGTTTGCGAAAACCCTGCAGAAAAGGAAATGACTAATCAACTGTTCAAATCCATTCACTAAATAAAATTGTCAGACTCCTCATCATAACTGATCAAATATGCATTCATTCCCAAACATCAGGTAGCTGATAGATTATTGCCAATGAAAAAGGAAGAAGGAATAAATAAACAACTTGTAGCATATGGGTGAAGAAATCAGAATTTAGAAAAAGAGAAAAAAAAAGGACGAAAATAACCTAGGTCCTTTCTTCTAAAGTGTGAGAAGAGCCAAGAAAGATTTACGCATTAACGTACTGCATTTAGTAAGCATCTAATCTATTAATCAATAGATCTTGATCATGTCTCCTCATCCAAATCGGATCCCCCATTAGAAGACAGAATTTTTTTCTTAAGAAAAAAGGAAAGAAAATGCAAAACAGAAAAAGAAAAAGGTATGAGTTGAAAGCCTTCTTTGTTATTCATATTCCAAAATGTGTAAAGGATAAAATGTGTAAAGGATAAAATGGGTGCTGGCAGATCAGAAAACTAGATCTCATGGCTCTAACACCTGCTGCATAGGTGCTCTTAGATGTGTTTGCTCTGTTCTCACCTTCTTATAGTTCTCTTGTTCTGTTGGTTTTCTATCTTGCCCTTTCTCTTCATTCCTGGTGGCTCATTGCAGTGCTCCGTCTGTTATCTTGGTGTCAGATCAAGCTTCTTTCTGCTGTGACTTCAAATTTGTTCTTGATTTCTGTGGTGGTAACTTCCTTTTCATTATTGGGGGTTATATATTTCCAATTTTAGGAAGGCATAGGTCTGAGATGCTGATTGTTAGAGTGTTGTGTTGATGTTGTTCTGGTTGAATGTTCGGAGATCATTTCTTTTCACACGTTTTCCCTAATGCTAAAATATAACTCTTCTACCTCTCAAAGAAAAAATCTCCTATCTCCTAATATTTTGGGGGAGTGGTGGGGGGGGGGGATGAGGCTGAGGAGACCGATCAACAATGAACAAAACAAGGGGGAAGGATGGGGGCTGAGAAAAACCAAACAATGAAAAAAACAAGGGTTCCATTGGGGCTGAGAAAAACCAATCAACAATGAAAATAACAAGGGGGGAGAGGTGGGGAGTTGGGGTTGAAAAAAACTGATCAAGAATGCAAGTAATAAAGGTCATTAAGTTGAGAAAAGAATGAATTTGGAATTATTCCTATGTTAGTTGAGTTCTTAATGCGAAAATTTAGTGAGTTTTTCTTCTTTTCTTTTAAAGGTGATTGGATCATGAAAAAAAATGCGAAAGATGGCGGACATCTTATTGTGAACTACAGATTTGAGATTCTTTTCCCTCGACTCTTCAGATAGCTTTGCCTTTGAAATACAGAAAACTCATAGCAGTTAAACTTTCTGTTTCTGGTTTATTGACAAAACAAAATGAGATTTCATTCATTGTTTTTTAAAATTAGAATGTGTAGAAGAGGTCTATACAAAGCATTGATCAAATCTTCTCATCCAAGAAGAAGAAAATACTGGCTAAATATTTAACCATGGCTCTCACCAAAAACAGAAACAAACAACACAAACAATGCGGATAGAGAAGAACATTATAAAATAAATAACTGAACTCCCATGTTATAAGAAATGTACCTTAACAAGCGCACGGACTTGGTTATCATGCAATTTAAAACCTCTAAGAGCCAATGCAGTTAAATTCGGGCAGTTGTTCACCAAATCAGAACAGGTGGGTGATTTCAGACTGTCATCTCTCCCTGCCATATATTATATGCATGCTAAGAAGAATATTTTAGAAGATGAAAACATGAAATGAAAAATCATAAAGATGAGAGCCCACCTGTTTTTGAAGATTCAAAGAACAGACGCTCTATAAAGTGGCAATTTGTGCTCACTGACACTAAAGTTTGCCTCAACTCAACATGACTGTTACAAAAAAGGAGAAGACAAAGTAGCATGTCAACAAGCTAGACATTGAAAAATTTGCCAGATAGTTCTTTGAAATGATGGATTTGCTAAATGATGAAATCGAAAATGAAAGATTGAGGGAAGTTAGATAGATCAAATGGTAAATATACAACAAAGAGGGGAAAGCACATCTACCACGCACAGATACTCAACGCCAAAGTTAGAAGCATCATAGCCAAAAAAAAAGCCCAAAATGCAAGTTAATGTTTGCATATACTTGTGATTTACTGTACTCACTACTTATCTTGGAATCTAGGCAGCTTATCGTCCTGGCCAACTGCCTTGACCATGAACCATGAACCATAACAAAAGACCAATTGATTACCACAAGCTTAAATCAGTTCAGTGGAACTTACAGGCCAACAATTTCCAGATCAAGGAGATATGGGCAGGCTGAAAGTGCCGCTCGGAGGGATGCATTATCCATTCTTTCAATATTATAAAGGTGCAGCCTCCTCAAAAGAGTCCTGCATTTCAAAACAGAAAATATTAATAACAGAACAAATCACTTGAATATAAAAGCTCTTTGCAAGACCAAGTCTGCAAGTAAATAATACCCAGACGTCCCATTTTCACCACTTAATGGGTTCAGGCAGGACCTAGTAAGAATGGATGACTCTTTTCCTTGTCTGGTCCTTTTATCATTCCATGAGAAGTTAGAGACATCTATAGAGTTCCTGATGGTATAGACCAATGATTGACAAGATGCAGTTGGGCCTGGAACTATACCAAGTTTAAGAGACCTGAGAAGATATCATTTAAAGTGGCATGAGCAAGAAATTATAAGAAAGTACCAAATTATATTTAAAAAAGAAAACATAAAAAGGAGGTGGTTGTTGAACCATGCTACCAAATACTTGTATCCAAATACCACAGTCAGTTATCTAAGGTCTTTTGATGATCACAAAGAATTAATTAATAAAGTATCCCATCTACGTACACTAACTTGAAACTTCTATGTTTACATTTCCTTATAGGAACAGGAGATTACCAAAATTAAGAGATATGGTGTATTCTAAGAAGGAATGAAACACATGCACACACATACAAATTACGTTATCTTAGGAGTTATTCAACTTTGCTCCTGTACCAGGCTGCAACATGAAAAGAACTGTTGCAAAAGTGTTCGACTGTGATGCGGCTAGTTGATTAAGTATAGATGTCATTAGTTCAATACAACTGAAGTGCTTTTTAGAGGCAGACCAAGCCATGGAAATGGTACAAAAAAAAAAAAAACACATGATCAGTGAGTTCATTTGGTAAAATGCAACAACGAGATACAGAGAAGGAAAGAAAAATATCAAAAGTCCCTCAGAACCAAGAATAAGTAGTTTATTTCTATTTCTTACTTCAGGGCTTTTCCAGCTCGCTGGATCATCGTAGAAACAACTGCATTATTGACCTTTGGGACAACAGTTGTCAAGTCAATATTCGCATAGCACAAAGGATCCGTGGCACACTTGTTGAACATTGAACAAGTAGCCGCAGCATAACAAAGGCTTTGTGTATCGAGCATGGAAAAGACCTGCACATAATCCAAACCATGAACTAAAAAATGTGCACTACCCTCCATAAATTTTAGAGTAAAGATGATCCGGCAGTAAAAGCAACTGCAGAATACAAACAGAAATTGCAACTTTGCAAGGGCAACATATCTCGTGAAAATATGATGTCAAATCCATCAAACCATGAACATATCATGATGAATTCCTGTAACCACAGATCCACATGGCTCAGAGCATAACAGGAAAATTACCAATCAAGACACAATGACAACAGCTGGTTACAGAGCATAGCCAAATTAAGCACATATCAAATTCTCCTAGAACACATTGAACGCCACTTATCCAAAGAACCAAACAAAGAGCCAAACAGGAAAAAAGAAAAAAGAAATCAAAAAGAAAACCTCAAATTTAGCGAGAGCAATCGCAGAAAATAACTTAAACCACAAAAGAGTAGTTAGAGCTACGCAGGGAAACGAGGACAACAGGGAGCTAACCTTGATGGTAAGATCGGGAGGCAGAGGCCAAGCGATGGCGTTATGAGTGGAGGCACGCTTTCGAGCGGAACGATTGGCGACATGGAGCAGGCGAGAGCCAAGCTGGAGTGCGCGATCGATGAGGCGAGTCTGATCCGCGTCGGAGGAGACCGATTGGAGGAGGCGGTCAAAAGAAAGGTCGATGGGAAGAGAAGGAGAGTCGCCTAACGACAGAAATGACTCGAGCAGATGGTCCATCTGACTGAGGTCCCTCGAGGATGAGAGTTTAGGAGTTTGATTAGGGTTTGAGGAGAGAGAGAAAGGGCAAGGACGCTTGGCCATTGACGTCGGGGTGTGGACAAGGGCATCCATAGTGGATGCTCGATGTGTGGGTGTGGGTATGTGGGCGCGTGGGGGGGGAGAGAGGAGAATTTGTACGGGAGAGATCGCAGAGCACGGGGAAGAAGTTTTGGTGGCAATGCCACGTGTCGGTTGACGTGAGGGTATGTGCCAGAACCCCCAGGTGACGATATCTCAGCTCCTAGCATTTTCGTTTCTGATGCCGCTCTGCAAATGAGCCAGGGAGGTAGCCTTATTTTGCAATTTACCCATAAGATTATTAAACCATGATTCTGTGGTAGCTTGATATTTATTTTTTAATTTAAAATGTATTTACAAACTTAAAAAATAATAAAAACATTATGTAATATTTTAAAAATTAATTTATTATACAATCTATATATATATAGAAATAAAATTGAAAAAACGTTATATACTTTTTTTTTTAAATAAAAAATAAAAATAATGTATTAATATTGATTATATAATTACAATAAATTCTTAGATATTTATATCTATTTAATTTTTTTAAATCGAGCATTCAAATTAGATCATATTTGGGTTGGCAAAAAAAAATAATAATTGGGTCGAGGCATATTTGGGGTTACTCTTTCAAAAATAGTTCGACTTTGATTCATTATGTATGTAATTTTTAATTATATTAATATTAATATAATAAAATAATTATGTTAGGTACAAGTTAGATAATTTATAAATCCAATATAGTTAAAAAAATAAAAAATAATTCATACCCGTTCCGTGTATACCACAAGTTTGGTTCAAATTTAATAAAATTCGTTTCGAACTCGTTCTGACTTCATTTCTTAGTTTACACCACATTTTTTATTATTTTTAACTTTTAAAAATTAAGAAAATATTCATTTTATATGTTACTTTCCCACGATGCAAATAAAAATTTTGAAATTTTTTCATATTCAAATGTAAAATATCAACCACTCTGATTGAATTTAAAAGACTAATGATTATTAAAAGTTTATTTTATCATATGTAATCGTGCGTAATAAACCCATTGTTTTAAAAAGAAATGTTTTCGTCATTTTTTTGAAATTATTAAATCGATTTTTTAATTTTAATCATTCACTCTAATCTGACACGTACTCTTATATTATTAATCGTAGAGATTTCAAGTTACAAATATAATGGTTGTTGCATCAAACAAAAACAACGTCATTCAACATGCGATTCACTAATCTTATCATAATATTGTAAAATTTTACTACACGAAAGCCATAAAAAGACATGCAAAACATTCAAAATTTTCTTTTTCTTTTCCGTACACTATTAAGTGTATGGCATATCGTATTTGCTTATATTCCTTTCCACAACCTTAATGCTTTGCGCATTTTGGTTGTATCTCTCGAGTATATTACCTTCGAGACATGGTCAATCCTTACCATTGAGACCTCCCACTCGCATTTGAGTGCCTTCCTTTGAATCACCCTCCCTCTCCCCTCCTTTGCTACATCACTAGCAAATTTCTTTTGATAAAAACAAAGTATGCGGTTACAAGAAAAACGATTAAATGACATGTATAATTACATAAAGTGTTTCGTTTTATGCTTGTATTCTCGATTCGATCAAATGGAAGTGTGATGTTATGCTTTTTTTTTTTGAAAAGAAAATTTCAATATATCCCTATAGTTAGATAATTTGCATTCAACCCCAATAAC